ACACAGTGTGGAGCTGGATGAACACAGCAGGCCAGGCAGCATCAGAGGAGCAGGAAAGCTGATGTTTTGGGCCAAGTTTCTGAAGAAGGGTCTTGACCCGAACTGTCAGCTTTCCTGTTCCTCTAGTCTTATATCTCCCTCCCAGAATTTTACCATCAACATAGTCAGTTAATAACTTGATGATTATAATCTGTTGAAATTATTTCTAATTCTTTCCTTACATACATGATGAAGACATTTCAGCATTTTTGTCCTTTTTTACGTTCCCCCCAATGTGCCTTGTGGTCATACATGCTTCTGTTTTCTTCACCAGGAAGTGTAGCAGCAATTTCTGTACTGGTTATCTTAGTATTAGTGGCGTTACTTGGAGGATTCATATACTTTAAGTTAAGGTAAGAGCCATGTGAATTCTGTTTGTCCCTGATAATCTGTCCCAGTTACAGTGTGTAGCCATTGCAGTTGGTGGTCAGCATAGTTTTATTTTTGGGTAATGTCTCTGTCACATCCTTTGGGTTATTACATTTTATACCTTTGCCATTTCAACACAGGAGAGAAGCTGTGGTTGTTCTCCTTGGAGCAGAGGTGAAGATTTAAGCGAGATGTTTAAAATTGTGAAGTAGTTTTGTTAGAATAACGAAGGAGAAACTGCTTGCAATATTAGCATTGCCAGTAAGGCAGAGTTACGTGAGGTGAAATTCTTATAATGACTCACGGCAAAGCGAGGAACAATTTTTCGTCACTTGATTTGTCTAAAAATAATTGATCCTTTGGTGATACAGAACTTGAGTAATGCTGGGGAACAGCCAAGCTACACACTGTAAATTGGTGCTCCCTTTCAAATTTGACATTCATGCCTTGGTCCTAATGAGTGCAAGATGAAAGATTTCGATATCTTGTCTTTTTCTCAACGATACCAGAGTGATCTCATGTGTGCTTTCAAGATAATTTGAGAATATTTTACAACTTACAGGTTGTCCTCTCAAAAATATCTCTCATTTCTTGTAGAAATTCTGCATATGGACGACTACATGATAATCAGGACTATGGAACATGGGGAAATTACAATAACCCTTTGTATGATGATTCTTAAGAAGACAAACTGGCTTTGTAGGTTTGTTCATATCCAGCCATCAAGTGAAGAGTATTGTCTTTTTGTTTATTGGGATAACTTGGCCAAAGGATGAAGGGTCTAGGCCCGAAACGTCAGCCTCTCTGCTCCTATGATGCTGCTTGGCCTGCTGTGTTCATCCAGCCCTGCACCTTGTTGTCTCTTAACACTTCGGGTTACTTCTTCAGAATTACAGATCCACCAGAAGCCAGAACCAGTGCAGGGATTTGAGTGCTCTATTGTCGAAGTCTATGAAGTTACCTAACGTATCCAAGTATATTACCATGTTAGCAGAAAGCTAAGAGGATATAAACAGACATGACAGAAGGTTGAACTCCTCACCTACCAACTCAGGTGTGAGATTGCAACTAAGTGTGATAGGCTGATGGATTTTAAAAGATTCGAATGATAAACATCCAAATTTCCCATCAAAATATGTGATGAATGATATTTTCAGAAATAAGATACACTTTATTCAGGAATAGAAGGGGGTAAGGGAAAGTACAGATTTATTTTTACATTTCCATACTGTGAACATTTACAATTAGATATATATAATTACAAATGCAATATGTCAGGCAAAAATCTTGTTTAAATATTTACAAGATAAAGTGACAAATATTTCAATTCTCTTTTGGAAGTTGGACGCAGTCACCGCAAACAATGTTTTTTAATTAATCTACACTGTATTCACTTAACAGCTTTCACACATTTAAACAGGTATACAAGAGGATAGTAGGAGCACTGAGTCACCACAGACACCAGAGGGCAGCCAACACCAGTACACTTTATTACGTAGACCAAGTGCGTGAGAGGCCAGAGTGGGGGAAATCCAGTAAAAGAATTGTGCTTAGTCTGGTGTACAATTATCCTATTAAGGACTTAGTAATAAATCAAATGAAGCTCCTAAATGAAATTATAATCAAACTACAATAAGAACTCGATCACTTTTATAACTAAATCTGTGTTTAGGCACTGCTCCTTATGACGTTAAATCCGCTGGAAAAACACAAGTACTTTAATCATCGCAAGAGATTCACAGGAAAGGTTAATTATTAAAGGAACTTTCGGTATCACAGTTTTCATAATAAGGTTTGCAACTTTAAAATGTTTCATTGTAACTTATCAGTGCACTGTGGTGCCATTTGGTTCTTGTCGAAAGAACTATTTTATTTAATCCAAGGATTTTCCTAGTTGTACAGTATTGACCAACGTATATCGAGGTGATCTGATGTTCACTCTCTAGCCTGTGGTATGTTAACAGATTGTCAGTATAACTGACCTTTTTAAAATAAGTACACACAAATCAGAGATAGTAGGAACTGCAGATGCTGGAGAATCCGAGACAACAAGGTGCAGGGCTGGATGAACACACCAGGCCAAGCAGCATCATAGGAGCAGAGAGGCTTTCTTGACGTTTCGGGCCTAGACCCTTCATCAGAAAAGGGGGAGGGGAAGGGGGTTTTGAAATAAATAGGGAGAGAGTGGGAGGCGGATAGAAGAGGGATAGAGGAGAGGATAGGTGGAGAGGAAACAAACAGGTCGAAGAGGCGGGGATGGAGCCAGTAAAGGTGAGTGTAGGTAGGGAGTTAGGAAGGGGATAAGTCAGTCCAGGGAGGACGGACAGGTGAAGGGGGCGGGATGAGGTTGGTCGGTAGGAGATGGAGGTGCGGCTTGAGGTGGGAGGAAGAACAGGTTAGGGAGGCAGGGACTGCTGTGTTCATCCAGCCCTGCACCTTGTTGTCACACAAATCAGACCGGGTTACTGTGCCTTACTATTGGAGGTCCGCCTGGAAAATGTCCATGAATTAACTCTGACCTGAGAACTCCCTTGCACAGTCGAATAGCCTCTGCCTATTTACGAAGAAATACAAACGCAGGAAAAGACCAGAGGAACTGTTTATATGCTTAAAAATTAGGTGATTTCTGGCGTTAGTTCATAGTAAATTTGAATGAGGTGGGGCCAGGTGGATAGAAGCATATTGTTTCAAAGATTTACAACAAAAAAGGTACAAGATTAAACTCAAGCATGAGAAGCGAAGAGATTCGTTGCACATGCAGGTCTGCGAATGTACCAGCAGAGTTAGTGATTGAAGCAGGCCCCTTGTATATAATTAATCGTTTAGCTAGGTGGTTGAGGGAAAATAAAACTAGGAGATGCGGGAACAAATCAGGCACGAGGGAATTGAGCCACAGCTGATAGAGGAGTGGACTGTATGAGGAGCAGTAGAGGTTAAGCACCGGCACAAACTAAACTGATTTGTACAAACTAAACTGTCAGTTTCTGTTTTATGATCTCGGTGTCGTGGGTTCAATTGCAACAGCTAACCCTCAATATCTTCAGTGGCTGAGGAGGTGGTTTTGACGGTAGCATTGGTTGTATGGAGATCCAGGTGAGGAACCTTGGCCATGATAAATATAGCAGACATGGAGAGGCTCACTCTCACCTTCCTTACAGCCTTGTGGTTCTGCCTGTCATTTTTATTTTGTTGAATGTTGATAATTAATCGCACGTTTTTTTTAAATACACTTTCTTAAAAAATAAAACAGACATGGCAACAGATACAGGCAACACCATAGCACAAGTTAGTTACATAATGAAGAAAGGGTGATGGAGAAGAAACAGACTGGGTTCACACAAACTGTGCTTCTGAACCTTTCTCTTATGAGTCTACAGCTTGCATTATAGGAGATGCCCTTTGGTAGAGTGGGTCTGTGTCCCCATTGCTACGTTTATTATGACATGTATGTGGCAGTGTAAGAGTTTTGTGTTCTCCCCAAAAAAGTTTCTTTTTTGCATGTGATTAGAGCGGTCCCTCATCATGGCCATTCCCTCCAGTCACAGCACCATGGTGGGAATGTGGTGCGTCAAGGTGGCTGAGTGTGGCACTGCCAAGGGCGGGGAGTGGGGCTGCAGTGAGGCCGGGGGCGGTCGGTGCCTGGCACTCTTTTGGTGGGCCCGGAGTCCTGCCAGCTGGGAGTAGGCGCTCTGACAGACCTGGCACTTGTAGGGCCGCTCGCCCGTATGCAGGCGCACGTGGTTCCTCAGTGTGGATGACTGGCTGAAGCGGCGATTACAGAATCGGCAGATGAAAGGCTTGTCCAGCGTGTGGATGCGCATGTGCGAGCGCAGGTTGCTGCGCGAGTTGAAGCCGCGGTAGCAGATCACACAGCGCATGCGTCCCGCGCTGCTGCCTCCAGAACCGTCCCCTGCATTCAGCTCATCTGCGGAGGAAACAGGAAGGAACGGGGCTTTAGTGGACGCCTCTCATCTCTCGTCAGACAATTGCACCCAATCCTAGGCACCACACTGTAGAAAAAACAGTCAAAGCCACGTGGAAAGGAATGCAGAGGGCATTCACCAGAATGACACGGTGTTTCAGTGGTTAGAAGCAAATTGCTGCAGATGCTGGAATCTGTACTGAAACTAAAAAATGCTGGAAATCACAGCGGGTCAGGCAGCATCCGTGGAGAGAGAGCGAGAGCAAGCCAACGTTTCGAGTCATAGAACGTTTCTATGAGAGAGAGCAAGCTAACGCTTCGAGTTTCCTCCCACGCTCCAAGGATGTGCAGGCTTGATGGATTGGCCATGGTAAAAATTGCCCAGTAGTATCCAGGGATGTGTGGGTTAGCCATGGTTTAAAAAAAAAATCCCATGCAGGATTACAGGGATGGGATTCTGTTGGGAGGGTTGGTGTAGAATTGATGGACCGAATGGCCTTTTTCTACACATCTATGAAGAGCTTCAAGAGACTGATTCCTTCCAGGCTGACCTTTACCCATTACTTTATATGCCCAACTGGTGTTCTCTGTCTCTGGGCTCCACCCCCTTTTTCAGCACAGTATCAACCTTTTCCCAGCTACAATAAATTCTGAACAAGGGTCACTGAACCCAAAAAATTAATTTTGCTTTCTCTCCACAAATGCTGCCAGATATGCTGAGTTTTCCCAGCAATTTCTACTTTTGCTTCAGGAGATTGTGTTGGAGCAGAGACGGTTATGGAGAGATGTCTCAGAGTTGTTCCAAAATTATAAAAGATTCTGAATGAGTAAAAAGGGTAAAATTGCTTCCACTGGCAGAAGAAGAAATAACCAGAGGACACAGGATTTAAGGGAATTGAAAGTGGAACCCCAGGGGAGATGATAATTTTTATGGGGAATAAATTGTTAAGGTCTGGAATACGCTGCTTGAAAGGATGGTGAAATGAGATTCAGTTGTAACCTTTCAAAGAGAATTAGTTATGTACCTAAAAGGAAGCATTTGCAAGGCTATGGAGAGAAAGCAGGGGAGTGGGGCTAAGTAGAAACTCTCTCAACAATCCGGCACACAGCTGAATGTTTCCCCATCTGCAAGATTCCAATGTTTTCTTGATATCTTTCAGCACAGTAGAGTCATTGTGGTTGGGAGACAATAAATAGATAAACAAGCAGATGATGTTAGTGGGCTAGCAAGACATGGAACAGACAGCTTACTGGAGCTCTTTTGGCTTCCTTAAGATGAGGAACATCATCACGTTTAAAACTAATTGACATGGCACAACTAGTGTTAGACTCAAGAGGAACTGTCAACTGTGCTGTCCAGTTGTACACTCCTAGCTCAAGTTCAACTGAGATTATAGCAGTTAATGCTCTAATAATACCACCTCATGCAAGTTAAATATAGAACTAGGCATAAATTAAAAGACCTCCTACGCTGTTTCATTCAGTAGGTCCAGCTCAGGGAATTTAGACACAGATTAACACTCATTCTGTACTGTCCATGTCCTGTATACCAGGTCCACTAGAGAGGTGATAATCAGATAATATTTCTCCTATCCTATTCCATTGTGTACTGTATGGTACAGCATGGGTGGAACATGGGATAAAGTTTCTTCTGCTCCGATCTTGTGATGCTCTGCCAATCACATTCTTTTAGTACAGCTTTTCTCAATCAAATCAATTCTGTTTCCATGTCTTCATGTAAAGGACATTTTTCAACAAAACTTACTACAAATGGAAACATTACAGTTGATGGATGCAGAAGGTCATTTATCTCATCAGTCTGGGCTAACCCATTGAATCACTCTATTCCAGAGGGTGAAAGAAGAATGTGTTAACCCACTGAACCACAATGGCCTCAGATTCTAAATTTATTTTATTTTAGTGTGCAGCAAACTGCTAAACTGGTCACTTTAAGGTGTCTGTTTATGAGGCAAAAGGTTGCAGTGTGGCATCTGTGAATACATTTATGTCATAATTGTAACTGAATTACTTCAGTCCAGTACCTTACCAGAGGCAATAGCACACAAGCTGATGGGCATATTGCTGAGAAATCATCTTTAAACTCTGGGCAGTACTGAATCT